TAGTAAAGTATATTAAAAATAGAGTAAAATAAGTGGAATTATGCTTAGAAAAGTGCTCCTCAAGCAAGATAACAAACGACCCGGATTATAAATAAAAAAAACAGAAGAAAAGACCAAACCTCCTTACTCTCGGCAGCATGGCAGTTTGTGGATTGGTTCTCCATAGATCTCTAACGCGACACCAAAAACCAAAAAATGCTTGCTTAGATACAGAGAGATAATATACAGAGACATGATTCCCTTTATATAATTTCAGATACGACAAATTAATAACTTACCCTATGATTGGCCTTTAGCAACATTTAAATTGGTTTTTTTTAATCGACATTTCTTATGAAATAATAGATTTTCAACTAATGTCTTTTACTATTGTTTTGCTCCTGTTTTTCAATAAATAATTATCGATTTCTATTCAATTCTCCTGATTTCCTCATAAATGAGTTGTCATTAACTTTTATTTGATGAAGATAATCCGTGATTTGACTTCAACTCATTATTATTTTGATTTCATTTCTTTTTCTGAGTCTGAGTTATCGTAACAAATAATCATATTCCACGCGGTAATAATTATATTCTTTACTTTCTAATTTTGGAAAACTGCACCCCAAAAAAGAAAAAAAGAAAAAAGAAAAAAAAAGGTACAACTTAGAGCTTATATTAAAAATTGAACGGTAAAGGACCCATAAGTGTAATGGTTTGAAGTAATTGCTCCTCTAGACAAGGTTCTAGGTTCTAGTCCTAGCACATGTGTTGTAAGTGAGTTTATTATATTATCGCATCTCTCAATACGAAACGTCCTCGAAAAAAAAAAAATAAACGGAGTTAGAGAATAATTTACACATACATATATATATTTTTAGGCTTAAGTGCTACAGTACACCCTGAAACATTGGTCAATTCTCACTTTACCCCCTCAAAGTTAAAGTGACTCACTTTGCCCTCTTGGCCAAGGTTTGATGTTTCACATTGCCCATTCCGTTAACTTCATCCAAAAGTCTGTTAAATTTAATACAAATTTATAAATAAACTCAATCCTAGACATGTATTTATAAAAAAACCCAAACACTATTTAAACATAGAAACACACCCAAAATCAACCCTAAAATCAACAATTGTATATGTTTTGGGTGTGTTTATAAATGGATTTTGAGTATGTAATAATGAGTTTTGGGTATTGGGTTTTTTTATAATTTCAGCCCCCATTTTGGCTGTTTTAGTGAAACTCCCTTTATTTAATGACGTGGCAGGGGTGTTTTATTAATTTTGTGCATATAGATTTTTTAATTACTTAAAAAAATTAAAATATAAACATAAAATTGAAATATATATATATTTTAGAGAAAAAAAAAAAAAAAACTACCCATCCCTTCCCAGTCGCACCAGATTCGCATCGCTCCCCCACCTGCAACCTACAACCCACCCTCCTCCCTGTGCAGATGAGAGAGAGCAATGGAGATGTTTGGGTTTGAGAAGCATGGCGCAGCCATTCAGCCAAGGTCACAAGACCAGAAGCAAACCCATTGTTGGTTCGGTTTAATGGCAACGGGAGCTGAAGAGGGTGGCGCAGACTCACAGACCTTGCACCCTTCACTGTGACCACAGCGCCTTCTGCCAACATCACCTTCTTCAACACACCAGCATCTGCATCATGCTGCATAACATTGAACAAATCAGTTTCCAAAGTTCCAAATTGCAATCCTAAACCAGTCAATCATATGTATCAAAAATTAACATTGAACATTCATCCCTTCCATCTCTCCAACAGCCACTAACCCAAACCCATTAATTGAATCAATCCTTAGCCAGACAACTTTCCTTCTCTTTCAATTAACCATCAAACTCAATTTCTCCTTTTCAGTTATCGAAACCCAATCAAACAAAAATGATTAAATTGAAGAAACCCAGCAGATCAGATCCCCAGCCTCCTTACCCAGTTGCTTTGTTCACATTCATGAGCTCTGTTGCGAATGGTTTGTTAATATATTAGAGCCGTCGCATTTCTGAGTTCTATATTGATGGTGTTGCTTTGCTTGAAATTCTTCTCAGTGGAGATTTTGCATTCATTATACAGTGCTGAAGAAACCATTAAAATTGTTTCGTTTTATACCCAGAATTGAAGGCATGTTGGTTAGGTAAGTAGAATGGGTCTCCAAGACGTTGTGCCAATGGTTGAATGTGCTTAAGAAAATTTTCAGAGAGAGAGAGAGAGAGAGAGAGAGAGAAATAATTTATGTTTGTATTTTAATGTTTTATTAATTTTTTTAAGGGAGTTTCACTAAAACACCCAAAATGGGGGTTGAAATTATAAAAAAACCCAAGCACTATTTAAACATATAAACACACCCAAAACTCATCATTACACACACTCAAAACCCATTTATAAACACACCCAAAAAGTTGACTTTGGGGTTGATTTTGGGTGTATTTTTATGTTTAAATAGTGCTTGGATTTTTTTATAAATACATGTCTAGGATTTGGTTTATTTATAAATTTGTATTTTTTTAATCCATGCTGGAGGTGGGCTCTACTTTGCCACATTATCCACTCAAATTTATGAATAAAAAATTAAAGTGCACAAAATTACTAAAACACTCATGTCACGTCATCAAACTTAACAGATTTTTGGATGGAATTGATGATAGAGGGTATTGTGGAATATCAAACCTTGGTCAAGGGGGTAAAGTGGGTCACTTTAACTTTAAGGGGGTAAAGTGAGAATTGACCAATGTTTCAAGGTGCACCGTAGCAATTAAGCCTATTTTTTTAATAATACTTCCATTTTCCGTCATGTCTTAAAAACTCGATAAAATACACGTTTTAAAAAAATCAAACATACAATACACATATTGTGCACGTACATGTTTAATACACGTATTTTTACAAAATTTTCAATAGTACATACAAAATTCACATAATTTTCACATATTATTGAATAAAAATAATATATATATTAAAATATTATATAGTGGCCGAACTTTTTAATTGCTAATTGGCAAAATGTTATCGAATAAAACACGTATGCATTTTATTCTTATTTTAAAAAATAAAAAACCGGCCGCCTAGGTGCTATTAGGTGGATCCTTTATTTATTTATTTAAATAAATAAATAGTACAGTCGCGTTGTTATACTGGGTCTTTTTTGGGTTTTTTAAAAAAATAAATCGTATGGCCGCACGGCTATACTCATAAATATAATATATTTAAACAGTATAGCCGCTCGGCTATACGGAGGCGCTTTGTGAATATTTTTTTAAATTAATAGTATAGCCGTGCGGCTATACTCGCACCCTGGGCTATACCTGGGCCTGTTTAAAATTTTTAAATAAATAGCCGAGTGGCGATACTCGTTAAGTATAATATATTTATTAAGTATAGCCGCTCGGCTATATGTGCGTCCCTTTATATTATATAGTATAGCCGGGCGGATATACCCTTTAAATATATTTAATGGAATATAATCACGCTTTCAGCACAGTTCATGTTTTGTTTGTTTCAAGACTAGAAGGCGATTTAACAGATAGCAAAGATCACGTTTCTTCAGAGAAAATAACAAATCAAACCAGGCTAAAGATGTCAAGTGTAATCCATGCCAATAAGGCCCTCAACTGGAAATCTGCAGAGTTTGTGGAAAATGTCTCTAAATCAAACTCCACAATTCACAGAAATCATATTTTGAACCCAAAAAAAAAAACTTAAAAACAAAGACTGATTGAAGAAACACAGGCTTAATAAGGCTGTTAATGGTATTTGCAATGGCCTGTATTAGTTGGCGCCGGTGGTTTTACATATTCTAAACCAGTTTTTCTTTTGGTCTGACTGACAGTTACACACAGGGCCTTAGGAAGAATCAAAAAAATCTGGACTGCACAACTGCACAGTAAATGAGGTACCAAAAACGTGGTGGTGCCTGCCCTATAAAGAGAGGCGTGCATCTTATGCTCTAAGCCACAGTGAGTGAGTTGAGGTTTTACAATATCCAACAAGCAAGCAGTTTTCATATTGCCTTTGTGTTTTTCTCTTCCCTTTGTTCAGAAAGAGAGAGTACGGAGATGAAACTGATGGGTTGTTCGTCTCTGATAGTTTTTGGGTTGGTGGTTATGGTTTTGAACAATGCATGTCCTGCAAATGGGGTCACATGCCAAGAGGCCCTAATGACTTTGATGCCCTGTGAGACATACTTGGTGGGTTCTGGCCCAGGCACTCCTGCCGTTCCTTGTTGTGCTGGTGTCCAAACCCTTGTTTCTCAGGCTACCTCCACTGAAATCCGCAGGAGCCTCTGTGAATGCTTAAAAAAAGCTGCAGCTGGGATGAAGATTGACCCAGGCAGACTTAAGGCCATCCCCGACTACTGCAAGGTCTCCATTCCTGTACCTCTTGACCCCACCGTCGACTGCAGCAAGTAATCTCTCTCTCTCTCTCTCTCTCTCTCTCTCTCTTCTTATTTATGTATCTAAGAATATCATACACATTTTTTGTTCATATGATATATATGATTTGGTTGGACTAATGTGTTCTTTTTACTTTTGTGATGTGCAGAGTTCCTCTGTTCTAAAGGGTGTGTGTGCATGATGATGGTATGAAATAAAACTTGGAGAATGATTAGCTGCAAGCCAGATGTTTTGGGATGTGCAGAAAATTAATTAGTGTTTGATTCCTTCTGTGGATCCAAAATATGTATTGAAAAACAATTATAAAGTAAACGAATGCTATCATTTCTCCAGTTTCTCTCTTTTTTCTTAACTTGGTTTAGTCTCTGCTCCCAACTAAAAAGCAATTAAGCTGTATCCTTTTATAAGGCTATAAAATTTGACACGCATCAGATGGCAAAACTAAATAAAACTCCAAACTCCAAATGCAGCCTCCAAACTCTTCTGAAATAATGTGTTTTCAGCTGTGGAGGCTTGTTTGAATGAGACTGAGAGTTACTGTTGCACGTCAAGACATTTTCCAGGAGCCTTACTGTTGTACCATTTTCATTAGAAAATTTCACTCACCAAAATCCACATTGCTAGGTATTATACTCGGTGCTTACAATGTTAACTACCCTGTAATGAAAAAGAAGAAGAAAATATTAGCATCAATGCAAAACTTAATCTCTGATTCTCTTTGTGTCTCAGAAATGAAAAAATCAAGAAATACCAATTGTCTTGTTGAGCAGCCAGAGCAGAAGGGCCAGTTGAATTGCAAAAATAGAGTGAAGCCACATTCTATCCACCGTGAACCCAAACACTGTGATCCCTGCTCTATTATTCTCCAGATATTTCACTGCAAAAGCGACCACACGCTATCATTACCAAAAAAAAGAAAGAGGGGGGGCCCAAAAACAAAAATAAATAAATAAATTCAACACTGTCACTGAAGATGATGATCTGTTCCTACTACAACCTAGAGCTTGTCTTTTCTGGAATGAGATTGTTTGAGTGTAAATTGGCACCAGCCTGGTGTTGTCCAAATCGTCATCTTCTCCAGCTTCGTCATCTTCTGATTCGGTATCAGCACCAAAAGGAAACACTTGAGCTGAGGAAATCGGAGCCATTGGAGTCTCACTTTCTGTGTAATCAAAAGACTGTATTGTGGCGCAGACATGCCACTTTGCAGCAAGCCCCGTTATCGACTGTGCTTTGTGTGTTATTTTTGTTGCACTTCGCAGGCAAATGAAAAGACTGATAACTAGGCTAATGGAACATAACTGCAACATGACCAGAAAACAAAAATGACAATAAATATATAATTTGAACAAGAATCAGATATTGTCATATATGTAAGTGAAAGAAATATTGAAAATTACCGCAAGATCTCCAGCCTTGAAGATATTAACATGAGCACTAGACCTAGTTACCATGACCAGAGAAATGAGCTGACTTGCTGTGACCATAATTAGAGAGAGCAAGATGAATACTCGAAACCTATGGCTCATCAGCCGAAGGTTCCTTCTGATCTTGAGGTGCTCCATCAAGATTAACTCAACCTCGGTCTCCTTTTGAAAAACTTGGGCAAAATTTTCTAGTCTCAGTATTTGAAGATGGCAAATAAGCCGGAACAGAACGCACACCAGGAAGAAAATTGTGGTTCGATAAAGCCATGAACATAGCTCCAACGTACACAAAATCGTGTCGCTTAAATAGATGTTCCCATAATACGGTAATTCGGTTGCTCCCGAGACATACCACCATATCTTGTAGAGACACTCTGCCGCAAAACAGGGGAACACGATCATGCAGAGGAGCTTCGTTGAATTCTGCAGCAATACGTAAAAACATAGATATTAGAAGCTCAAAGTTTCAAGATTTTGTCTAAGGTTTTGTTTAAATCAACTAATTATATATACCTGAAACTGTTGTTTATATCCATGGCGAACCTTCTCACTTGCGTCATATAATTTGTCGAGGAAGAGAAACCTCCTCAAACCATATTTGCGGGTCCAGCAGGAGAGGCTGATGAACGCAAGCACTGAGAATAAAGAAAGTGATAACTGAGAAACTACATGGTAAGGCCTGCTGTGATTTTCATCGCAGTCGGAGCAGGAGAGGAGAAAGTGTGAGACAAGCGGCACGCCAATGGCTAAAACGAAAAAGATGGACCATGAAATACCAGTCCTCCATACATTGGACTGATCCACGAAAACCCATTTGAGGCATGCATCGAAGTTCTTCAATTCAAGTCCTTCGTGCCCTATGTAGCCTGAGATTGCTCGGTGTTTTGATAGAAATGATTGCCTTTCGTCTTCCATGGTTTTGTAAGCTTTGGTTTTTCTCGAGTTAGAATCAGAAAGCAGAGGAAAGCATATAGCCAAGAGAAATGGAAGACCTGTCAACTATATATATATATATATATATATATATCTCTCTCTCTCTCTCTCAAAAAAAAAACAAAAAAAGCAGATCCGACAACGTTAGTCACTACTTTCATAATAAGTTTCAGATCCAACAACGAACTAAACAAATCGGATTTCTCTCTATACCAACCTAATTTGTCAGTTCTACATTATTTTAATTTATGACATAATGGTCAGTTCTACTTGAATCAAGGTGCACAAGACACCTACTTAGCAACTTTCATAAAATAATGTGTTAAAAAGTCTTATGAATTCATGATGCGCCACGTTACAATTTGAAGAATTTGGGCAACCAATTTTCAACTGTCTTAGAGTAGGTTTGGGTTTCTTCTGTACACGCGTAAAAGAGGTTGAGGTTGATTGAAAGCTACCAATGAGAGAGAGAGAGAGAGAGAGAGAGAGAGAGAGCTACCCATGATCTGCAGTCAACCGGTCGACTGTGATTTTTATTTATAAGATGTTCTGAATTACTATAATGTATACTGGAAATGAGATCTAATTCGTGTGTAAGGGTGTGACGAGGGAACATTGTCTTGATGAATTGGTCTAATTTTTTTAGATAAATATAATATGGAAGGGCTACTATTTTTGTGATGGGCTTTTTATGCAGAATCTGTCAAAGGCCGCTTCAAAATCTGGACGCGCCAAACCTGGACAAGCCCAATGACCACACAAGTTGCAGAAAGTCAAAACCAGAGCCCACAGTCTAATACAACTGGTGAAAAGAGGAGCCACGAGAGCTAAAATGTGAACAACATATAAGCCACAAAATAAAATAAAATTCATGACTTTGTATGTATTAACATAGTATCATCCTATCGTTATATATTTTTGATTTGTGTCGTGCAACTACAAAGCACCAAGCAAAAACACAGATGGCATTGGCCGTCCCCAAAATTTATGCGCAACGCAAGCCGCGCCAACTTTGCTAGACTTGCGAGACGACACAAAATACTTGCAAACAAAAATAAGAAAGATACCCCATTTATGCCATTTTCCTCACCCTCTTTGGCGGTTGACACTTTCCCTTATACCAACTGACCGAAACCAATTCCAATTTGATTTTCGTTTCGGTCTCTGCAAAAACCGTCGGGAATGGCAGCGGCGACTTTGTCTTCCTCGGTGGTTGCAATCTCAACCTCCTGCTCTTCTTCGTCTCTCAAAGCAAGGAACTACAAGAACTTAGCTTGCTCCTCGTTTTGTTCTCAGAATCGTCTTCCTTACAATCCCATTTCTGCTCGTCCATCAATTTCCAGGTAAGTTTGTGTGCTACCACTTTATATGTTGAAAAAAACAATCTTTAATGTTCCTATTTGTGAGAAAATGTAGAAACCTAGCATGGTTGGGTGTGGGATCTAGCAAGTGGATTCATCATTCAAACTTTTGGGCCTTTTCCATGATTGGATAACAAGATTCATAATTGGTGTTGGAATTTGTATAGAGTTCGTGCAACTATTCTGCAAGAAGATGAAGAGAAAGTGATAGTGGAGGAATCCTTTGAGTTCAAGACTTCTTCTCCCTCAGATGAAGTGAAATCAAGCAGTGGGGGCCCATCAGAGAGTTCGTCTTCAAGTACTTTTGAGAGCTGGGTTATTATATGTGAACAAACCATCAACATCTTCCTTACGGTAAATCTTAACTCTTATCGAATAATTGTTCTACAGTACTAACCGTCGCTCCCATTTCGAATTGTCAAATAATTGTTATCAGGCTGTGACTTTGTTGATTCATTTTGTGTGCATAATGAATGTGCACAGTTGCAGTTTTTTATCTTCCTTGTTGACTGTTGGCATGATGCTTGAATGAGCTTAATTCATTCAACGTTTTGAGATGTCCTCTTAGTTGATCTTTAATTCAGTTCTACTAATCATTCCAGGATACAGTCATAAAGATACTTGATACTCTGTACCGTGACCGAGATTATGCAAGGTTTTTTGTACTGGAAACCATTGCAAGGGTTCCTTACTTTGGTGAGTGCTACACTTTGTTTAGTAATAAATTTCTGCAGTTCTGTAAGTGGGTATTTGTAAAGATATGTGAATAACTTCAAACAATAGGAATATAAGCCTTCAAATGCTTGAGGAGCAGTTACCAATACATTGCCAATCGTTCATGCCCTCGCATACATCACAATTGGCCCAATATCTTGTATTATGAATATGCTTCATCCGAAATATGGATTCGGATGTTGATCATGGAAAGGCATGCCTATTAGTTCCTCTTAATTTTCTCTGCAAATGTGCATTTTACCTGCTACTGCTAAGAATACGTTCTTTTGTAATCGTTTTCCTAATATATTATTGTGATTCTCAGTTGTGATTTTTAATTTGTGTGTGTGTTATTTTGTGGCAGCCTTTATGTCTGTTTTGCACATGTATGAGAGTTTTGGCTGGTGGAGAAGAGCAGATTATCTGAAAGTGCATTTTGCTGAGAGCTGGAATGAGATGCACCACTTGCTTATCATGGAAGTGAGTATCTTTATTTTTTGTTCTCTCGCCAATGATTCCTTACATTGTAGGAGATTCCACAATAAAAGAAATTTAGATAAATAGCATCAACAAAGTAAGCCTGCAGGAGGAGACTAGAGTGAATTTAGGAGAGATAACAAAATAGATAGAAGAAAACTAGTATGACATGTGGTGAAGGCTTTTTCAAATGATGATGTTCTGGCTCAAAGGCACTCTTGTAAAAACTTTGTGTAGATTATGGTAGCTTCATCTGTTTACTTCTGGCTTCCCTTCTGTGCACATAGAGGTCCACATGGTTTGCTTGATTTAATAATAGCATATGGATACAATTGCAGGAATTGGGGGGAAATGCTTGGTGGTTTGACCGCTTTCTTGCTCAGCATATTGCGATCTTCTATTATTTTATGACGGCCTTTATGTATATAATAAGCCCAAGAATGGCATGTAAGTATGAGTATCTGGTTTTTTAATGTACTATAATTTCCTGGGTTTGTCGCTCATGCGTCTGAGCATCCCTGTTGGTGCATTTATCCTTGGTGGTTGCAAACTTGCAAGAACTCTCCATCTAAACCAAAATTAAACCTTTTAGTACCAAGTATGCAGGCAAACTTGTTGAAATTTGTATCCCTTTTTAAATTTGATAATATTTGCATAGTTTCTAGGATATTTCTATTTTCTGTTTAAGTTCTACAGAATGCTGAATTAGCCTGCATGCTTGCAGTAATGTGTTTTTATGTATTAAGTTTGATGACTACTGCAGATCACTTCTCTGAATGTGTAGAGGGCCATGCATTTTCAACTTACGACAAGTTTATCAAGGCCAGAGGAGGTATTTTTTAGATCACTTCTCTATATGTTTGTGCTCATATAAAGGTGTTTGTTGGATCACATCAAATTACACTAACTTCTAAGCATGCAAAGTCAAAGAGATGATCTTGTATCATCCGATCAGTTGTAAAGTGCACTGTCTTGTGCTTACCTCAAATGCATATTCACTTATTCTGACGTGGTCTTTTCTTCTGTTGTAGAGGATTTGAAAAGGTTGCCTGCTCCTGAGGTTGCTGTAAAATATTACACTAGCGGTGACTTGTACTTATTTGGTAAGTTTTTCTGTTTTTCAATCTTTGTTTCTGTGTCCTGAAATGCTTTAATCCTAGATTTAACAAACCCCCCAAATTTCATCCAGATGAATTTCAAACTTCCAGAGCTCCCAATTCTCGAAGGCCAAAAATAGGTAACTTTCAGACTCTGATTTTATTCTGCCAGTTAGTACATGATCATGCTAGGAGTTAGCTCTATTGTCAAACTTTGTTTTAGATTATGATCTCTCTCCTTTACGAAATAAACTTGTGTGGGATGGACAAATTTCGCTTCTCACATAGTATGGGTTGTGGGACCCATAGAAGTTTGTGGGTCCCACCTACACCATTCCACAGGACTGAGATTTTTGGGCCAACTAACCTTGGTGTCTTGTAACACCAACTGAATGAGTTAAGAATAAGAGTAAGCATATTGTGATCTGTTCTTTTTTCACAGAGAATTTGTACGACGTGTTTCTGAACATAAGAGATGACGAAGCTGAACACTGTAAGACGATGAAGGCCTGCCAGACTCATGGGAACCTGTGGTCTCCTCATTCCCGTGCAGAAGAAGAAGATGACGCCCCGTGCGTCATTCCTCAAACAGACTGTGAAGGTATTGTAGATTGTATAACAAAATCCGTGACAACAAAGCCAGAAAATTGATCATATAAGACACAAGAGGGGACGAGGAAATTAGGTAAAAGTAGTGAACGGTATAAGAAATTTGTTTGTATACACAAGAATGATATAGATCCAAAAGAAGCATTTGGTTATCCAATGAAGGTTGCTTTTCTAGTTTCCACTGGGGAGAAGGCCTCAAGGCGTGGTTGTTTCGCATATTTCCATTTTTTTGGACATGTTTTGTGGGACTATTAGCTTAGCTATCATTAATATGTGGTGGCACCTCCCCCTACCCCAGCATATCTTCTTTTTGGTCCGCTCGTCGTGACCGAGTGACATTGACAATGCCTGCCCATACTGCTATCTTCTTGCGTTGTTCCAGTGTCGCAAACCGCCTGTATTTAAAAACCCTAGAAAATATCAACACTAATCAGTGAGTTTGTGTTCCACCGGCATTTATGCTAAGAAAAGAAGATGAACTCTCGTTTTAATTGCATTATGTTTTTGTACCTATCCTTATCATCTTATCTTTAATGAGCAACATAATTCACCCAGAAAAATAAGGACATAAATAAACCAGATACCCAGCCTCATCAATAAAAAAGAACCATTTACCCAAAAAATTTTAAAAAAAATGTACAAAGAAATCAAAAGCAAGTGAATTTAGAATTGAGTAATGCTACACTTACCACATTATTATCCCACATTTCTATACCACATGATG